GGTCCCAGCAGCCCGTTAGGGCGCCATTGCTGGCCCACTGTTGATAAAATGGTATTAATAGACATCTAGCCTGGGAAATGGCAATAAATCTGTGTTATCACTCGCCATCCCATTTATCACTGGCTATTTGTCATGTCGTATTCTCATATCAAACAGGCATATCGCCAATCCCCGTGACATAATGTCATCTGAAACTCCCCTTCTCGGAGGTACTATGGGCACAGCCCAAAAGCCGCCCCCTCAAACCCCACCACAATAAAAACCAAGCAGATCTCCAATAAGCAAAACTAGCAGTCTGCACCCGACCAGGACGGGACTCGAACCCGCAATCTTTGGATCCGGAATCCAACGCCTTCACCATTAGGCCACCCGGCCAACCCATCCTCTCCTGGTCCGTGGCGACTCTTTTCTGCTCAATCTGTGGGTCGGCTGGATGCAGGAGTGCCGAGAGAATTCCAAGACTTCCTGGTGCATCCGCAGGGAGAGGGAACGCTGACCCACTGGTAGTAATGAAAGGGTGAGGGAGATCTTGACGAGTAGACATAGTTTATGAATAATATGAAATTTTATTGAGATTTTTGCGAGATACATGTTAAGAATAGAAAGGAACAGAAGGAATTGATGATATAGAGATGTAGGAGGAAGGGGAAGAGGCACTAGGATCGTGTACTTGTCCCAATAATAGGGAGAGACGGATGAGTAGCGGAGCTGTCAGAGAAAAGCGAGGGGATCTGTTGAGCTGTCCAAATGGTCATTGGGAGAGGGCCAAGCGGCAGGGTAGTTAGTACCCAGTCGTCAGGACCAAGGCAGCACATGAAACGCTTATAATAATAGCAGCTAACAGTGGCATCATTGGGCCAGAGATATTGAGGGTTGGCCATATGTGGCATTGTTAGAGCCAGGGAATGGGAATCATGTACATCCCAATTGCACTTGGCACATGGATTGGTTAATGGAGGGCCAGTTTGGGGCCGCTGGTATCCATATATCCCACATACACTGGGGATTGCTGCGATACCAATGTGGTTATTACACCACAGATCTGGGGCGATATCTTTATACTTAATCCGAGAGTCTGGGGGGTGCTGGGATGCTGTGGAGTTCCTTGACCCCTTGACATATCAGCAGGAGAGGCTGGCACTATATTCATGGCAACCCGGGAGGAGGAGGAGGAGGAGGAGGAGG